AATATTGACAGACATGTAGGAGAGTCAGAAGAGAGAAAGAGCCTTAGTCTGGGAGTTAAGTCTATACGACACCTATTGGACTACGCCATTGATCTACACTTCTTACCTGCGACTACGACGCATACCAGTTGATTACTGCTACCGTATTCTACTTGGTTATAGTAGCCAAAACCACTTAGCTACTTTGGTCGAATATATCCCTTTCTGGGACATATCAGCTTTATTGCCTTGCTTGGAGTGAAATGATTTAAAAAAAATTACATATGGATCAACATTTTTGTCTAGGATCAGAGTATCTGTACACTATCATAATATCAAAGTATGGCTACCTGGCCATATGGCTAAGATCAGAATAATAGTGTGCTTGAAAGAGAAACAGAAAAAAAATACTGTTCTGAGGAATTGTTTGCAAGTTAATGTTAATGTACTGTTTAAAAAGCAGGACTCTGGTATAATAGATAAGTCACTTTCCTGCTAACCTGAAGGCTGGACAATTGAATACGAGCAGGGTTTAGTTGTTAATTTTATTTATCTGCTTGTGTTTATACATACAGAAACAAAACTGCACTGTTTACTAATACTATCTTCATTAATGATCATTTATATAAGCATTGGTTGATATGTGAAAATAAACACCAAGATATTTAATCATCAAATGACAAAAAAATGGTTTCCAAGTCAGAGGATTTGTGCATCCTTCTGGTTAATAAATGAATCCTTTGAAAATAGATATTTAACATTTTTTAACCAATGGATCATGTTCCCACCAACAATAAAAAACATGCTTTGTGATCCCTTTGAAGAGTATTTAAGCAAAGTTTATAGACCAGACAAGCCAGTAAGGAGATAGAGACAGCAACATACCACAACTGTTCATGGCATAGCTTAAAAGAGATTCCCTTACTCATTAACCTATCTTCTTCACCAAGCTACAAGACCCTTACACTCTTCTGTATCAAGCTATGTGACACACTCTTCCTCCTTACTTTCTCACTTTTTCTCATACAGGCATGCAAAGAAATCATATTTCTTTTCTTCTTAACAAACAACTACAAACAATGAACTTTAACTCATACATGCTAAGAAAAATATTTAATTGTATACTTAAAAACCTTTCTCATCTTTTTCCTTGTTGTGGGTTGATTCAAATCTGCAACAGATATGTCAATTCTCCAATTATATAAAGAAAGTTTTGAACTAGACAGAATAATGAAATTGATATCTCAGTGAAGTAAATGCATTTCTCTTCAAAATTATATATTTTAATAAACAGTCAGTCCTGGGTATGATGATAAACTACACCTGGCAGCAAGTCTTGTTATAGTGAGATTGGAGGTTTTGAGGAACATGGAACCACCTCTTAATTGCTCTTGTTCCTGGGGTGGTAGCACCTGTTAGGGTCCCAGCTATGGGCAAATAGTGAACCCCCAAACAAAACACTATGAAAGTATAAAAATGCATTTGTATTTTACAATTTGAGGATGCAGGCTCTTAAGTTATAATTGTTTTTATTTATTGATGTTTTTTTTTTGCTGTATATTGCTTTGAGGATCATAAATCTGTTTTTACTATTTGATTTTTACTGGTATTTTGGTATTGTTTCTGAGTAGTAGCTGTTTAATATATATATATATATATATATATATATATATATATATATACACAGAGAGAGTGTTTGAAAAGTTTATATTGGTCCATTTTCCTTGACTTTTATGAAAATAAATGTTCTTCTGCAGATATCCAATGGAGACATAAAAAAAATGAACTTTGTTTAACTAGAATAAATGTGCTCAAAAAGAAAGTATTAATCTTGGTCTTCTAATTTAATGTACATGTGTATCACTACCCTTTAATGTCAAGATTTACAAGGGATATATATAACAGCCATTTTGCTGTTTTGAGCAAATAAGGCAATTCAGAAATTGCCCAGAGAAAGTTGGATTCATGCCTGTTCAAAAGATACTAGCATGAAAGATGATAAACAAATTTCAACCTGAAACAATTTTTTTTTTGTATTCTTAATTTCTGTGAGCACCATTCCTAAGTTACAAGGAGGGATGGTGGAATTTTCACAAGAGTTTTGAGGAAATATCTTTTTTTTGAATTGATGTAAACTTTTAGGATGACAGAGGTTGGTAAATTACTGCTTTACTTTGAACTTGAGTGACATGGAATTCCTTTTGCTTTTGTCGCCTCATAAATCTTTAGACTAGACAGAAAGGCGTTTTACAACTATCACTGCCAAAGATGAGATCATGCACATACATACACACAATTATAACACAACTTATAATTGCCCAGTGGTTTGCAATAAAATCATTACACTAAACTTTAATGAAAATAAAAGAAAGTTACAATTTTATAATACATAAAACAGTCTGATTGTTTATTTGTTAGACCAATTTTTTTAATCAAATGGTTGTATGGACTTCAACCAAACCACAGCTGTCAATAAGCTGTCTCATCTTGATTGGTTTGGTTTGCTTTGATTGGTTTGCTTTGTTTTGTTTTACGGCATATCAACTTTAATGGGTCATTTAATGCCAACAAAATTTTTATTACTGGTAATATTTTTTCCTCAAAAATGTATAGCTGGTAATTTTTTTTTTTTCAAAAATATATTGCTGGTAATAATGTACTGCTGGTAATAATTTTTTTCTTAAAAAATTTATTGCTGGTAATATTTTTTTTAAAAATGTATAGCTGGCAATTTTTTATTTTTCAAAAATGTATTGCTGGTAATAATTTTTTCCTTCAAAAATTAACTTCTGGTAATAATTTTTTTTCACAAAGTATTTCTGGTATTAAAACCTATTTTTATACTTTCAAAGTGTTTTGACCTCAGTTTAGGGGTTAACTATTTCCCCATAGCTGGGACCCTAACAGGCACTACCAACTTTGGTCAGGGTGTACCTGGGAACACCAGCAATTAAGAGAAGGTTCCACTCTCCTCAAAACCTACTGATCATAGGCCTTGCTGTCGGATGTAGTTTATCGTCTTACCCAGGATGCGGATGTAGTTTATCGTCATACATAGTATGGTCATCTCTTGACTTCAGATTTCTATTTGAATGTGACAAACAAGTCTAGATTTTACATTGAATGGGCATGTCATTTTGCAAATTTAGAATTTCAAACACCAAAGATTTGAAATCTAGTCTGCTGTGTGTAAGAGAAAAAATACACCATATTTTCAGGCATATAACAAGTATCTATAATTTGGCAAAGAATATTAAAAAAAAATATTCAACTGATGATTCATCCATTCTTATTTACTAATTTTTCATATTTTAACATTATTTTGATTCAGAGTCATAGTTTAATGACTTATAATCATATACACAGTACTGTGCAAAAGTCATGGAGAGGCATGATCAGCTAAGTCCTGAAGGGCCACAAAACAGAGAAGAAGAATATTATTTTCACATCTACTGCTAAGATTTTATCCTATTTTTTTTTTTTATTGTGCATAAATACCAGCCTCACAAAATTTTCATCTACATATGAATTAATTTGTAAAGCTCTGGATAAAACATGGTCATAAAAACACAACAGATACACAAGTATGTGCGGTAATTCATTGAATGCATCAAGTCGAGAATAAAAATAATTCTGAAGGCCTTGCTTGTAGAAAATCAATATTTATTTAAAAATACAAACACCAAAGGCAAAAATCTCTCCACCAGTTATTATAATATTTTATAGTGAAATAGAAAAAGTTTAAGCAAACATTTTCTAAATTTACATCCAAATATTTAAGTCAATGAAGATTGTATTTTATAGGAAGAAAATAGTTATTTAAAAGAAGGGTTAGCAATATAATCGATCCTGACCTGACATCTTAGCTTCATTCATTTTCTCACCCACGTGACATGGTTTCTCTCTCTCTTTTCTCAAATATTTTCATGGCAATTGTTCTAATAAGCTTTCCTCTTTGGTGACTCGACCACATGAACTTAAGCATGATACTAGATTAGCTATTAGGTCTCACTGTTTTACTGTTGGATGAACTAGATTCAACCTATTCTTTTATTGTCCTTTCTCTTCACTAAAGTTTTCTCATTCTCTTTCACTCTCAGTAATCCCTTGCATCTTAGTGACATTATCACCTTGCTTGGCTTGAAAGGGTTAAAAAAATGTTTAAAGCTTGCTTGTCTTAAGACTTTCAACACAAAGGACTGAAAGAATATTACATGTTAAGTCTGCCTACTGTAATTTGATCTGCTTCATCAGCTGAAGGCACTGCACAGCTTTTCATTATTAATTGATATATATTTTCATTATTAATAGCTACATATCTATTGTTTATTGGAGGCATGGTGCAGTAATGGTTTGTGGCTCAAATTGAAGAATCGGTGAGCAGAGTTCAAATTCCGGTCAAGTTCATTACATTCACTCCTGTGCTAATACAGTTGGGAAAGGTATGAATCCATCTCTTCTCTCCCCAGCTATGGATAAATAGTAAGACAGACTGGGTTCTATAGCCTTGGGTGGCAACCGGTCAAGGAGAAGGAAAACATTCGAGACCGTATGTAGCCCTGACTAGACCAATACTATGCAGCTAAGGAAAAGATTGCTCGCATTGATTCAATGATCCCAACTAAAGTCGACTCCTTCCTTGAATGGGTTTCTGTCTCTTAGCATTTGATTTTATTAAATTTAGAGCCAGTTCGAGTTCAAATTCCAGTCAGATCCATTACATTCATTTACGTGCTAACACCTGTGGGAAAGGTATGAAAACATCTCTTCTCTCCCCAGCTATGTATAAATAGTAGGACAGACAGGGTTCTATAACCTTGGATGGCAACTGGTGTAGAAGGAGAATTCTGAATTCGAAACTGTACATAGCCCTGGTGAGGCACATACTATGCATCTAAGGAAAGGCGTCATTCACAGTGATTTAATCCTGACTATTGTCAATTCTTATGGTTTCATATTTCATATATTTCCTTTAGAGTATCTTGATTACTGAACTCAATTATAATATTCTATTTGTTTTTATGTATGACTGTTAGATGTTGCAAACAGTACAAGACTTGATAAACATGGCTTAACAGACACCAGAAAAGCATCTGGTGACAGATTATCAGTGACCATATCATCTTTACTTTTTAATATTTCGTCATTTTCTTTTCTTTTTTTTAAACTTCCCACCACTTTTCTTTCCTATGATTTAACCACACTTTTTTTTTCTTTCTTAATATTTCTTTAATCTTTTCTACCTTTCTTTCTTAATATTTCCCCATTTTTCTTCTTTTTTTTCTTCATTAACATTCCTCTTTCCTTCATATTATTTCTGTATTTTGTTCTCTTTTTCCTTCTTTTTTTCTTAACATTCCTTCATTTATTCTTTCCTGGTGATCTAACCAGTCCTTTCTTTTTTCCCTAAGATTTAGCCTTTCTAGCTTTCATATTTTTCTTCTTTTCCTTCTTTAATAATTTTATTTTTCTTCTTTACTTCTTAATATTTCACTATTCTTTCTTACTAAGATTTACTCTTCCTTTCTTTCTTTCTAAAATTGAACCTTCCTTTCTTTCTAGAATTTAACCTTCCTTCCTTTCTTTCTAAAATTTACCCTTTCTTTCTTCCTTTCTTACTAAAATTTAACCTTCCTTTCTTTTTTCTAAAATCTAACCAGCCTTCCTTTCTTTCTAAAATTTACCCTTTCTTTCTTCCTTTCTTACTAAAATTTAACCTTCCTTTCTTTTTTCTAAAATCTAACCAGCCTTCCTTTCTTTCTAAAATTTACCCTTTCTTTCTTCCTTTCTTTCTAAGATTTTACCTTCTTTTAAGTTCTTCCTTTTATCCTTTCTAAAATTAAACATTGCTTTTGTTCTTTTTAAGATTTAACCATCCTTTTTTTCTTTCAAAAATTTAACCTTCCTTTCTTTCTAAAATTTGAGCTTCCTCCATTTCTTTCTAAAATTTGAGCTTCCTCCATTTCCTTCTAAAATTTGAGCTTCCTCCATTTCCTTCTAAAATTTGAGCTTCCTCCATTTCCTTCTAAAATTTGAGCTTCCTTTTTTCAGGTTTAATTTCCCTTTCTTTTCTTTATAAAATTTAACCTTCCTTTTAAAGATTTAATCTCCCTTTATTTTTCTTTCTAGAATTTAACCCTCCTTTCTAAAATTTAACCTCCCTCTCTTTCTTTCTTTCTAAAAGTTTACCTTCCTTTCTTTTTTTTTCTATGTTTTTACCTTTCTTTCATTATAAAATTTAACCTTCCTTTCTTTTTTCTAAAATTTAACCTTCCTTTGTAAGATTTGTCCTTCCTTTGCTCCTTTCATTCTTCTATAAAATTCAACCATCCTTTCTTTTTAAGATTTAACCATCCTTTTTTTCCTTAAAAAATTTAACCTTCCTTTCTCTCTAAAATTTAACCTTCCTTTCTTTTTCTTTCTAAAATTTAACCTTCCTTTGTAAGATTTGCCCTTCCTTTTCTCATTTCTTTCTTTCTTCCCTAAGCTTCAACCTTCCTTTCTTTTTAAGCTTCAACCTTCCTTTCTTTTTAAGATTCAGCCTTCCTTTCTTTTTAAGCTTCAACCTTCCTTTCTTTTTAAGCTTCAACCTTCCTTTCTTTTTAAGCTTCAGCCTTCCTTTCTTTTTAAGCTTCAACCTTCCTTTCTTTTTAAGATTCAACGATTCTTTTTTTTTTTTCAAAAATTTATCCTTACTTTCTTTCTAAAATTTATCCTTTCTTCAAATTTATCCTTACTTCCCTTCTAAAATTTAACCATATTTCCTTTCTGAAATTTAATCTTCCTTTCTTTTTTCTTTTTAAAATTTAACCTTTTTTTTTCTAAAAATTTAACCTTCCTTTCTCTTTTTCTAAAATTTAACCTTCTTTTGTAAGATTTGCCCTTTCTTTGCTCCTTCCTTTCTTTCTTTCCTAAGATTTAACCTTCCTTTTTTTTTTTTAAGATTTCCACTTTTCCTTTTTCTTCTTTAATATTTCACCATCCTTCCTTTCTCAAAATTTCACCAATCTTTCTTTCTAGGCCAACTTATTTTTATTCATTTATTAATATATGTAAATTTAGATTTAATAACTCTATATAATAGCGCTATTCTGCCAGTAATTGCAGAAATATATAAGAATAATGGTCATATGCTAGTTATTCACACCCTTAGTATTTGCATGTATTTACCATTATTATTGAGAAAGACCATCGCTTTAACTCAAAGCTCAAATGAGAACCACTATTTTGACTGCATATTTGAAACAACTGCTCCTCTCCGACAGTAGAATGAGAGTTGAGAATCGTTGAATACTTTGCAGAAGATTTTGGCTGTCAAGTTGCAGTTCCTGACACATGCGCTATCACGTGCAAAATAAGCACACATACTCTCCTTTTCAACAGGAACACCTGCTCTCCCTCTCTTTCTATCTCTCTCCCCATGATCCCATTTATGGCCTGGGGGGAGGGGGAGGCAAATGCATTTGTTTTCTGTCTGCCTACACTAGAGAACAGCTTCAAAAATATTCTCAAAGCCCTGAGCCAAAAGAAAATTGTGCGATCATTTCAAACTATAAAAGCAATCTTAAATTCTTTAACTTTATGAAGTCAATGATAACTTAAATGCTATAAGTGGCAGCAGAATCCAAATTCAAAATAAACAAACGAAATAAAAACAGAAAACAGGCTTTTTAAGAAACATAAAAATATTGAATTCTGTTTTCCTTCTCCTAGAGTGGTTGCCACCCAAGGCTATAGAACCAAGTCTATCCTACTATTTGCCCATAGCTGGGGGAAGAAGGGTTGGATTAATACCTTTTTCAAGGGTATTTGCATGTAAGTCAATAGTCTAGATCGAGTCAATGCAAACAATCCTTTCCTTAGCTGCATAGTACATGCTTCACCAGGGCAACAGACAGTTTTGAATTCAGAGTTTTCCTTTTCCTAGATGGGTTGCCACCCAAAGCTATAGAGCCCAAGTGAATAGTCGGGATCATCGAGTCAATACAAACAATCCTTTCCTTAGCTGCATAGTATATGCTTCACCAGGGCTACATATAGTTTTGAATTCAGAGTTTTCCTTCTCCTAGATTAGTTGCCACCCAAGGCTATAGAACCCAGTCTTTCCTACTATTTACCCATATCTGGGGAGGAGTTGGATTCATACCTTTCTCAACTGTATTAGCATATAATTGAATGTAATGGATTCAACAGGAATTCAAACTTAGCTCTCTGTTTGCTCAATCTGAGCTGCAATCCATTACTCTACGGGAATTGGAACTCTAATTAAACCCACCCACACATCCAAGCTGAAAGCATGTGTTATTCTCAAGTGGCCCCATACTGACCAGGCTCGATGTTGCCGGAAGGGGAGTTGTAACTCTGAGCAAATAATTATAAACCCCTAAGATTTATATATAAAAAATACTTGTAAAAATCAAAAACAGCAAGATGTGGTGATATGTCCTGGAAAGGGATATATTTGTTCAAAGTATCAAAGTGGTTCTGGACCACTGTAACCGAGTAGGACAATCTAGCAGGTAACCGTAATGGACTGGTCCTCGTTGTAGGTGTAGGCAATAGGCGAAGACTATAAGCATAGCCAATAGGCGTCGTCCTGTACCTCTACATCAGTCTGTATTTATGGCTGACACCAGCCAATCATATTACTGTGAGGGGGAACCCAGGTGTATGCATATTCATTATATCACATGGAAACAACAAAACTAGTATTATTTATTATCTGGTTGTTATATGGTGTTGGAGACACGAAAGAAAATAATACTGAGTAAAATTGTGAGTTTGGGGTCAAATGTAGACTAAGTGCATATAAGCTTCCTTGTACGTTTTTTATAGATGTGTGTAATGAGTGTCCAGATAATTAGAAAAATACAAGAAGTGTCTTGGGTTTTCTTACCTTGAATTTTGTTGAGTGCTAAATGTTACTGTTATGGCCAGAAAAAGGATAAGGAGCTAAAATTTTTGTTGATTCACATGTTGAGGGCCTGTCTATGTTGACTGCTTGTCCAATAGTGACAATGTCATGTGTTTGTGTGTGTAGAGGAGAAAAGTGGGGTTGTTTCTCATTGGCTTAGAATGAGTGAATTAATGATAATTATAATTATTATAATTATTTTTATGAGAATATTAGAAAGTTAGTCTGAACATTCTGTTGAATAATAATGAGATTTAAATTCAAAACTTCCTATGATATGAGGATTGCTGGAAATTCTGTCAGTTGACCTTTTTGTTCTCTAAAATGGGCAATTCTGTAGTCTTAAACAGGAAAGAAATAATTTTTTTTTTTAAATATCTAAATTTAAATCTGTTAGTTAATAATATATATGGGGATCATTAAAATCACATAAAATGGCACATTGTAGCACAATTTATCTTAACACAATATTATTAAGATACTCCAATTTGAGGAGTAAAACAATTCAAATTTAATCCAGCTATTGGTTTCCAAGTAATTTTGAATTAAGGACAACTAGCCAGCAAAAATGTCTGTCCAAGAGAGATAATCCTAAGTCTATTAACTAAGAATTACAGATTTGTTTCTGTTTTTTAGGAGAAATCCATAAAGTTTAGAGATAATAAGCATTAGTATTCTGATGACACAGTGTTGATAGCAGACTCAGAAATGAAACTACATGAACTCCTACAGAAGGTAATGAAGGAAAGCAAGAAGAAAGGACTAAACACCAATTGCAAAAAAGATAGAATGTATGGTTATTAGCAAAAGAAACAGTCCAACATGCAAATTATAAATTGGAGATACCAAAATCAAGCAAATACACAGTTTAAATATCTGGGAAGTGTTTTAACAATGGACAGAAAGTGTGACACTGATATCAAAAGGTGTATTGGAATAGTGAAAGATGCCTTCCAAAAGTTAAGCAAAGTATTAAGAAACAGGAAAATTTTATTAGAAACAGAGAAAAGAGTACTGAAGTGTTATGTAATATCATTCCTCCTATATGGTAGTGAATGCTGGACAATTTTCTCACAGATAAAGAAAACATTTGAGGATACAGAAAAGTGGTTCTGTAAAAGGATGCTAAAAATACCATGGATCAAACATGTGAGCAACAACAAAATTTTAGAGAAAATCTAAAGAAAAAAGATATTTATACTTAACATTAGGAAGAGATAGCTAAAATTGAAGAAAGAAAGCTTGGAAAATTTGATACTCACAGGACATATTGAAGAAATGAGAGACAGATGAAAATAACCAACCTTGTGTAAATGGATGGTAGAATGGGGGTTTAGTTTATTTTATATATTTATTTTCTATAGCTTATCAACACTTTCCAGGTTATTTAAAGCTAGAAAATATTTTTAGATTGTAAGAATTTTTTTTGAGATAATAATGGTTTAGTGATAAAGTCTTACTAATTAATCCATAGCTGGGGGATAAGAGGAGGATTCATACATTTCCCAAGGCTATTTGAATGTAAGTGTATATAATGAACCCAACTGGAATTGGAACTTGGCTTGCCGATTAACAGTTTCAAGTTATTATCCATTATACCATCTGGTATTTCCAAGTGGTCACACATCTAGATACTGACCAGGATCAATGTTGCTTAACTCTGGTGATTGTACAGGAACCAATGTTTCAATGTTATATGGCTATAAGCATATATATATGTATGTATATGTATGTATTTAAATAAAAAGAAAGAACAGTAAGATATATAATCCGGTGTTCTTATAGATATTTTTATTTTTACAAAATAGTGCTCAATGTAAATTTACAGAGCATTAATATTATATATTAATTGATTTAAAATATGTTTTTTTTCCCGCTACACAGTTCTAACCATGTTTCAAAAATGGATGTTAAGAGCCACGAATTTAATTTTGCAATTAAATTAAAGACATTAGTTCCATTTCATCCTCAAGCGAATTTTGGAGTAACTTTTTCTAATGTCTTTAATTTAATTGCAAAATTAAATTCGTGGCCTTTTAGCTTCCATTTTTGAAACATGGTTAGAACTGTGTAGCGAAAAAACATTTTAAATCAATTAATTTATAATAATTATATATATATATATATATATATATATATATATATATATATATATATATATGTGAAGAAATATAGTTTTAAGATGTTCTATATTTATGGGATAAAGTGCACAAAATCAGAGATAGAGAGTATGTAAATATAAATATAAAATTGAACATTAACGTCAACACTCAGAGGTGACAGGCGTCTAGCATGAAACAGCCTGTAGCCTCCGAGTGTTGACTTCAATGTTCACTTTTATATATATATATATATATATAAAGCTATGATGAGGCCTTAAGCCTTGAATGGCAACCTGCCAAGAGATGGTGTCTCAATAAAAATTTGGTGTACTTGGACTACTGTGAGTGTCTAAGATGAGTCTCAGATGTAAAACCTTGCCTCAAATCATCATGATAAATCCTTTGTCAGGCAGTACCCACCTTGCTTTGTGTGAGATTAATTCTGGTCCTGACTCAACAAAAAAAAATATTAAAAAAAAAACACAGCTGGTATGTATGCATGAGTGCCTAATCTACCTTGCTGTCTTAGGGTTGGCAGATTTCAAATTTTAAGCACTCCACTCTCTAGAAAATTGAGAAAAGAAGCATTAAAAAACACAGTCAGTGTAGAGACAATGAAATCAAGCATGTCTGATCATGTATGAAGGGAAAAGGGTAATCATGGACCCTGTCGAATGAAGTGAAAATACTGGATAAGAAAGAACACTGGAAAGTCAGACTTCTGACATATCC